ACGATTTGAATTAATTACTTTTGTACAAATTATAAATAGCGTTATTTTTGCCAGTATCGTAATACGAGTATTAACGCTGACCTCAAAGTATGATAATATTTGGCAAACCCCGTGATAAAGTAGTTAGTCTTTTAAGCAGGGAATCATTGTGTATGTATTGAGAGTAAAATATTGAATATTTATCGAATATTATCAGCAATACTGAGGTAAATAATTGTTTTAACCAAAAATGAACTAAAAAAATTGGTTTATTTCTGTCTATAAGCCGAGCAACGGTGGGGAGTTCAATTCTGACGTGTACTGTGGCTGCGTGAAGGTAATTATACTTGGTAATCACTTCCACGCTGGCGTATGAACCAGCTCAAAAAGCACTTTTCTGTGATACAGTATGTACTAGCAGTTCTGCACACTTAATATTAGTGTCATGTTGACACCCGTAAGTACTAAACAGTTGTGTTAGTTTTTTTCTAGGCTCTTTGTAAAACAAACAAATGAATAAATAAATGAATAAAAAAATAGCATGATAACAAAAGAAAATGAACAAATGGTAAACACCACAGCGTGCACTAGTGACTCAAGTAGTTTAAGGCCTGGGTTTTATCTTGGTTCGAGACCCCCAGCAGAGTTTCAAGACTTTAAAAAAAATGGCGGCCGTTAACGCATGGCGTGTTCGAAGTTTAGATCAGAGAGCGTTTACGCTTTTGAGGAGGAGAAGATGGATATCGGCCGCAATGTTTTTTAGAAGACATTGTTTTCGTGCAGATGTGGGGTCTACAGCTGAGGTGAGTGATAGTTTTGTGTTTCATTCGACAAATTAGCTCTAATTTGCCGTAGCTTCCATAATGCTCTGAGGCGCAAATCCAAATAACGAACGTTTTATTCAAGGAAAGCGCATTTTTTCGTTTACTAAATTATGGATTAAAAATATTTTGGTATGTTTCGGAAATTTTCTGTTTTCGTCAGTGTAGGATGAGGTGGAAATTGATAAACCGCGGAGTGAAAGCTTACCCTTAGCGTAAATTTTGTTGTTTACCAAATTTAAATGCCTCGGCTCAACCCGAGTTAGAAATTTAACGGTGATTTACTGTACAACACTTTTGTGGGTAAATGTATTTATATGAGCTTCAACAAAGAGAGTTTATTACTCAATCTACAAGGCATGTAAACGAGAGAGAGCAAAAAGCTATGCGTCAACAGATGTGTTCTTATATA